TGGTTGACTACATGGGAGTCCAGTGACATAGCCATTATGTTAACTGCTGGTCCCTACATTTACCATTTTTATACATTTTAAAAAACTATATATAGGACATTACAGATATGTATATATCTTTTTTTTTCTTTTTTTTGGAGAGGTTTTTTGCTATAGGGCATGTGTGCTCGCCAGAAAGAGAGAGACAGAGACAGAAAACGAGAGATCACCCCCCGACATAGCCATTACGCTAACTGCTGGCCCCTATATATCTTTTTTCTTCATTATTATTTACACATTCAATCACTATACATCATTTAGATTGTAAAGAGACTTTACCCAGCATCATATAAAACTCAGTCCAGCCAGTTGAGAATACTATACACATCTTCTTCAACAGGTAATAAACCGTATCTCTGTCCACAAATGTCTTACCTTTCTATTTTTTTCTCCGGATTTCATTTCCTGTGTTTTTCCCCTCCCACACTCTCCTACTTTGTCTCTAGTGTCCATAACATTTTTTAATGCTTTTATGTCCTATAGTCTTTCAGTCTCTACCATAGAGTGCAGTCAGTCGGTATATGTTAAGTGGAGACATATAATGTCTCTCTTTCATAGCCTGACTTGCTTCACTCAGCAACAAAGCTTCCATATTCATCTACTTTCTATCAAATTCCACGGCCTTGATTTTTATGGCTGAATAGTATTCCATGGAGTATATGTGCCACACATTTTCAATCCATTCATCTGTTTGTGGACATTTGGGTTCCATATTTTAGCAATCATGAATTGTGCTGCAGTAAATATAGTTGTACAAGTGTTTTCCTGACTGAGCGTTCTCCTGTCCTTTGGGTAGATATCCAGGAGTGAAATTGCTGGATCATATGGTAGTTCTATTTGAAGGTCTTTGAGGAACCTCCATATTGTTCTCCACAGTGGCTGTACCAGTTTACATTCCCACTAACAGTGTAGGAGTGTTCTCCTTTCACCGCATCCCCTCCAGCACTTATCATTTTTTTTCCTTTTTTAATCTTTGCCATTCTGAGTGGAGTTAGGTGGTATCTCATTGTGGTTTTGATCTGCATCTCCCTTATGATGAGGGATGTTGAGCATTTCTTCATAAGCTTTTTGACTGTTCGTATGTCTTCCTTAGAGAATTGTTTATTCAGCTCATTTTCCCATCTTTGAATTGGGTTAATCATTTTCTTCCAGGTAAGCCACTTGAGTTCCCTGTGTATTCTGGTTATCAGTCCCTTATCTAAAGCATAGTTAACAAAAATTCTCTCCCATTCTGAGGGTTGTTGATTCACACTAATTACAGTGTCCTTTGCTGTGCAGAAACTTCTTAATCTGATGTAATCCCACCTGTCTATTTTGGGGATTACTGCCTGTGCTTTAGGGATCTTGCTTAAGAAGTCTTGGTCTACCCCAGTGTCTCCTAGAGTTTCTCCAGTGTTTTCAACCAGTAGTTTTATAGTTTGTGGTCTTAGGTTTAGATCTTCTATCCACTTTGAGTTGATTTTTGTTAATGGTGACAGATAGGGGTTCAGATTCATCTTTCTGCAGGTGGATACCCAGGTTTCCTAGCACCATTTGCTAAAGAGGTTTTCCTTTTCCCACTGAATCGACTTGTCAAAGATCAATTGTCTGTATGTTTTGGGGTTTATTTCTGGGTTCTCCACTCTATCCCATTGGTCCTCATGTCTCTTTTTGTGCCAATGCCATGCTGTTTTGATTATCACAGCTTTGTTCTATATTTGGGGCTCAGGGAGTGTGATGCCTCCCACTCTACTCTTCTTGCACAGGATGACTTTGGCAGTACAGGGTCTTTTATGATTCCAGATAAATTCTGTGATTGTCTTTTCTAGATCTGTGAAATGTCTCTTCTAATTTAATAGGAATTGCATTAAATATGTAGATTGATTTGGATAGAATTGCCATTTTGATTATATTGACTCTGCCAATCCAGGAACATGGAATGTCCTTACACTTTTTTGTGTCCTTTTCATTTTTCTTTTTAAGGTTTTCATAGTTTTTTTTATAGAAGTCTTCGACTTCCTTGATTAGTTTTATTCCTAGGTGTCTTATACTTGCATCTATGGTAAATGGGATTACTTTATTCAGTTCTCTGTCTGCTTGTTGTTTGTATATAGAAATGCTGTAGATTTTTGTAAGTTAATTTTGAATCCTGCCACTTTACTGTAAGCATTTATTACTTCAAGGAGTTTTTTCATGGGACACTATTGGGTCTTCTATGTATACAATCATGTCATCTGCAAACAGAGATAATTTCAGCTCTTCTTTCCCAATTGCAATGCCTTTTATTTCCTTCTCTTGTCTGATCACATTGGCTAGGACTTCCAGTGCTATATTGAATAGGAGCAGAGAAAGTGGGCAGCCATGTCTTATACCAGTTTAGTATAATGTTAGCTATATGTATTTCATGGATGGCTTCTATTATGTTGAGAAACAATTCTTCTATGCCAATTTCCCTGACAGTCTTAATCATAAAGGAATGTTGTATTTTGTCAAATGCTTTTTCCACATCATGTATCAAAAATGGTTTCACTTACTTAATCCTGGACAAAGACAGATGTTTCTAAAATTATAGCTTTACAAAGATGACCACTTTCCTAAAATTCATCAAAATGAAGTATTATCTTTGTCACTGATATAGATATCCCATCAACATTCCAGTATATTTTTCTTTTCATGAAAAAGGGACCAACAATTCTAAAATTTATCGAGGCTTCATGGACACCTTGTCCAGCAGAGCATAGTTAGCACAGCTGCAGATTTTCCCCAAAGACCACGTAGAAGGAACCAAGCACCACAGGCACCGAAAAAGCCACCGAGTTGTCTGATTTAAATTTAAAAGCTCTGTCTGCTTTGTTGCAGTAGATTTTAGTGCAGGAAAAGGTTGAAGTTGAGGAGATGAGTAAGAAGGTTTTAAGGAGGTAGAAATGGTTAGGTTCTAGATGTATTTTGAAAATAGAGCTCATTAATTGATTTTGGAGTTGAAGAAAGGGGAAGCACAATCTGCCCAAGGAACCAGGATAGAATTACCATTTTCTGAGATGAGGAAGTCTACTAGAGGAACAGGTTTAGGTGGGGATGGTGGCGGCTGTGGGTTAGGAGTTAATATTTAGATATGTTAAGTTTGAGATTCCTGTTAGATATCCATGTGGAGATGTCAAGTGTGCAATTGAATACACAGATTTGGAGTTCAGGAAGCAGGTCTGGATTGGAGATACAAATTTCGGAGTCATCAGCTTTAGAACCCACTGTTATATAGACAGTGAGATCAGAACCTAAAGGGAAAAGGAGATCTGAATAAGTCATTTTTTGTATATTTTAAAAATTTTCAGATTAATTTCACATTTTTCATTAAATCCCCATTATACAGTATATCTTTTTTTTTTTTGTTTTTAGCTGAGAACATGACATTTTTTCTTGTCTGTTAATGTTTCTTCCCTTTGCACCTCATACCCACCTATTACCACCCACTCTCTACCATCCACTCTCCTCCTCTACAGTCTCTGGTATCTACACTTATCCTCTCTACTGTCATATTTTCAATTTCTGCCACAGATTACAGATTTTTAGTACAGTTTGAGTGGGGGTATGCAGTATGTATCTTTCAAAGTCTGACTTACTTTGCTCAACATTAAATCTTCTATATTCATACTCTTTGAATCCAATGATAAGTTCTCATTGTTTCTTACAACTGGATAATAACATTCCATAGTATATATGTGCGGTTTTTCAACCTAGTCATCAGTTTTTGGACACTTAAGTTGGTTCCATGTTTTAGCAATTGTAAATAATGCTGCAATAAACACAGATGTGCAAGTGTCTTTCCAACTGAGTGTTTTCTTATCTTTTGTAAAAATTCCAAGGAGTGTGTTTACTGGGTATATGGAAGTTCTGTTTGTAGGTTTTTAAGAAACCTCCATATTTACTCCACCAACGGGGAAAGAGGGTTCCCTTTTTACCACAATCTCACCAGCGCTTATTTTGATTTTTTTGATCCTAGCTATTCTAACTGGGGTAAAATGGTATCTCATTGTGGCTTTAATTTGCATTTCCCTTATGACAAGAGACTTCGAATGTTTTCATTTGCCTTTTGGCCACTTGTAAATCTTGGAGAGTTGTCTTTTCAATTCATTTGTCCATTTTTAAATTGGGGTATTCTTTTTTTTTGGCAATGATAAATAATTTGCTATTATTTTCCTCCATTCTGAGGGTTATACACTCTAATTACTGCTTCCATTGCTATGAAGAAGCTTTTTACTTTGATGTAATCTCTCTAGTCTATTTTGGACATTATTGCTTGCCTGTGCTTTAGGAGTCTTATTTAAGAAATCTTTGCTTATTCCAATGTCTTCAAAAGTTTCTCCCATATTTTCTAATAGTAGTTTTATAGTTTGAGGCTTTACATTTAAACCTTTGATCCGTTTTGAATTGATTCTTGTCAATGGTGAGAGATAAGGGTCCAGTTTCATTTTCCTATAGTTGCATATCCAGTTCTTCCAGCACCATTCGCTGAAAATACCCTCTTTTCTCCACTGCACTGTGTTGTACCCTTTGTCAAAGATCAACTGGCTATATGATTTAGGATTTATTTTCATAGCTGCAGTGGCCTCAGACCTGTGGACTATGATGATGGTCCTCTCGTTACAATTCAGCTTCGTCTCCATGTGGCTAGCCAGGTGCTCTCTTGAGCAGCCATGGGTAGCCACAGCCCTACCTTCACTTCCAGAAGCAATCACTGCCTTGTTCATAGTTTTGGAAGTCCAAAGACCAGGTGTCTTATCTGGTAGACCTTCTTAATTGGGGTGCAAGGTATCGTAGGACATTACATGGCAAGAGCTTGAGCAGAAAGTGTCTCTGTGTCCATGTCTGTGTCTCGCTAGATTTATTCATATTTTCTGTTGATGTTGGAAATGCATTATACGGTCTAGGGATGCATCTCCAGGGACAAAAAGTTCAACCCCAGAGCCTGGGGGTTGGAGGTGGGACAGCATCGGTATATGCAATGTCTGAACTTTCCAGGGTAAGATCAGAAATCATTGTTTTTAAAAATACCCTCTTTATTTAAAAATTTTAGATTACAAAAAAGTTTCAGGTACAGAAAACTCTATACATTCTTCACCGCTTTCCCCCTAATGTTCATGTCTTAACATATTCATGATGCGTTTCTCAAAGCTCAAATACTGACATTGATACAGTACCATGAATCTAACTTCAGTCTTTGGCTTTCACCAGTTTGAAATCATTAATTGTAGGTTAGAAACATTTTATGAGTCATCTATGTAAGTTTTTGACTGTTTCCTCTTTTCCCTTTATAGAACTAATGGCTTAAGAATAAATCAACATGGCAACTATGGTTCCACCAGTGAAACTGAAATGGCTGGAACACCTGAACAGCTCCTGGATTACAGAGGACAGTGAATCTATTGCTACAAGAGAAGGAGTTGCTGTTCTGTACTCTAAACTGGTCAGCAATAAGGAAGTAGTACCTTTGCCTCAACAAGTTTTATGCCTCAAAGGACCACAGTTGCCAGACTTTGAGCGCGAGTCTCTTTCAAGTGATGAGCAGGACCACTATTTGGACGCCCTTCTTAGCAGCCAGTTAGCACTTGCCAAGATGGTATGTTCAGATTCCCCATTTGCTGGGGCACTTCGAAAACGATTGCTCGTACTTCAGCGTGTCTTTTATGCACTTTCTAATAAATACCACGACAAAGGCAAAGTGAAACAGCAGCAGCATTCTCCAGAGAGCAGCTCCGGT